TCTTACCTCCCTTGTTTGGCGTGAATTTATTAACATTGGGAGAATTATTTTCAAAAAATTGTTCCAAAATTATTTATTTGCCACAATATTTACCTTGGGATATAATTTTAGGAGTTTAAATTTAATTTGATCTAAATTACCCAGATAGCACGGAAACTTGCAGCAAACTTGCGGCAAGCTTACCGTGCAAACTTTTCAAGATTGTCGCGCAAGCTTGCTGCAAGCTTGTCTGAGCTAGTGAAATGTCCCACCGAGGGCAAGCTTGCCGTGAAAGCTTGCTAGAAGATTGCTGCAAGCATACTAAGAATGATTGCGGCAAGCTTGCCGTGAAAGATTGCTGTAAGCTTGCTACGAAAGGTTGCAGGAGAATTTCAACAAGCTTCTGGAAAGGTTGCTGCAAGCTTGCTGCAATTTTTAAAAAATACATTTTAAATTAAAAAAAATTTATTTGTTTTTTAAATTTGAAAATCCTTGTGACGTTTATTATTATTAATTATGTCCTGTTTATTTTCATTTGGAAACTTAATGAGAAAATTTTCGAAACAAATTTGAGGGGACTGGAAAGAAGGGGACCTTTGCAGCTACCTTTCCAGAAGCTTGTTGAAATTCTCCTGCAACCTTACGTAGCAAGCTTACAGCAATCTTTCACGGCAAGCTTGCCGCAATCATTCTTAGTATGCTTGCAGCAATCTTGTAGCAATCTTTCATGGCAAGATTGCAGCAACCTTCCCTGTAAAGCTTACACCAAGCTTTCACGGCAAGCTTGTCCTGGATGGGACATTTCGCTAGCTCAGACAAGCTTGCAGCAGGCTTGCGCGGCAATCTTGACAAGCTTGCACGGTAAGCTAGCCGCAAGCTTGCTGCAAGTTTCCGTGCTATCTGGGTAATGATGCTTAAATATTTTAAAATATTTGTATTCAATTTTGTCCATAAATACGCTTAAGTATAAACATATCTTTCAAATAGGGTTAAATCATGACTATTCAACTTGGCAACTAGAAGATAATTTTTTACGAGGGTGTTTATAATTTACAATAAAAAAAAATTTCATTTAAATAATTCGTTACTTGACTTTTATTAAATAAATATTTATTTATACCCTAGTAGAAATTTGTCGTGGATGCACTAGATTGACTCAAGTTACTTGACAGTTTTTCTCGCGGACGCTGATTCTAGCTGAACTGATAAATAACTGTGAAGTTACTGATCAGTGCTTTTTGAAAGAAATTCAAGTTGAACTTGATAATTCCACGACTCAAAGCTATCCAGTTTTTTTAATGGCACTGTCCAGTGCTGCTCGAAATTAAATTCATATCCTTGTCATGGCGGTGGCGCTTCAATAAGTCTAGTAACTGGACAGCTATGCTAGGATTTTGTGTATTGACATTTCGCTTGCTTGATTTAAAAAAATTACAACTTGTTTATAAAAATTAATAATAATAATATTAATATTCCTTTCTCAAAAAAAGACAGTGCATACAAAACACATGAAAATGTATCGAAATATCTCGGTGGTCGAAAAAATTGAATTTAAGAAAAAATGAACTTTGCTTTCCAGAGCATCTAAATCAATATTCATTTTATGAAAATCACTGTAAATTATTGTTCCACATATATATTTTTTGCATAACTTATCTTATTGCAATAAATATACGGGCAAATCTAAAAAACAGGTAACTTTCGTGTGACTTGGGCTTATTTTTAATGGTACACATTATATTAACCCAGTTGCTTGTGAATTACATATATTTACTGATACTTGAATGATACGAAACAGTTTTTAAGTGATTTAGTAAATAACTTAAATGTTATACGAATGTAAATGCCAGAAAACAACAAAAAATTAAAAATTTGTGTGTGACTTATCAGATATGTAAAATGAAATGTAGAATAACTTTTGAAGCACTCCATATAAATATTTGAAATTTTACATGCTATTTGTATTTATAATAACATTTCAATTATACTATGTAAGTAAGTTGTGCAGTCAAAAATATCAAAATGATAAGGAATCGAAAAGATGTGACTTTACTTTCCATTATTTTGAAAAGTTTCAGCTTTTCGCTTGTAGTTTTTGAAGCACTTATTTAAAAAACATTTCGAAGTAAGCATTGAATTCTTCAAATAATTACGAATAAATCGGTACATTAACAAAAGTTGTGCTTTTAAAATAAACTTACATTTAAAGGTAAAATAATCTGCTACATACAGCGTAAACCTTTTTCTAACGACACTTTAATTAAAGGCACACTTACAAAATAAGTCAAAACCGCCTAAATCTTTTTGTAATTATCATTTTACTTATTTTTACATATATATGTAAAATGCTTCAAAAAAATCTTTATTAGAAATGTATAAAAACGTGATTTACTGCATCGTGTGATTTTTCACATATGCAATTTGAAGTTTACGCAAGGTTATTTTTTAAAAATTAGTCAAATTCTATGTTTTTTTTTAATAACGATGTTCAGACGAGTTGTCTATTGTAACCTGTTCACAAACGTCAAAAATCAAGAAAACACAATGTCTGCAGGTAATTTAATACTCTTTTTATATTTTTACAAAAATAGAGCTTTTCTAGAATAGTATTTACTTACTAAAATTTTTTAAAAAGAATCAAAATACACTTGAAGAAAATAGAGACAAAAAGAAGAATACGGGTGCAATAACTCGTAAGCATGGTTATAACACAAGGCAAAAAATTTGAGGTTAATTTTTATAAATGTTTGTTTATGTTTTTAGTTCATAATTTGTTAATAAATAATAATAATAATAATATAAATCAAATTTTGATGATTTTTTTTATTTAATATAAGCAGTTTGTGATATCTCTTGATATCTCGAAATATATAGCCGTGACGTAACAAATGCAGAAGTTTATTTTCGGTCTAACTTTTGAAGCACTTTATGAAAATTAATTACATTTATATTTTCTGATTTATTGAACGATTATGAGTAAAATGATATAAAAACCACATGTGTGCTTACAAATTTAAAAATTTTACTTTTTTTTGTCGAAGTGTGCATGTTTTTTAGATTTGCCCATGCAAAATATTATTTGTTGTAAATGTTTGCCAGCTGTCATGAATCAGAAACGAACATAACCTATATTTAGTTGAAATCACTTGATTGGCCCAAGACAAAATAGCGCGCGCTTTTTTAAAATAATAAAATTTATGAAATTATAATAAAATAATTGCAATAAATTAAATTATTATGAAAATAATATTACCTTGAATAAAAAGTGTTTTTAGTTTTTAAAAAAAAATGATTAAACAATTATTATTATTTTCAGACAAATTTTACAAATATAGTAGAATATTATTTTTCTGTTTGAGTATATTATAATAATATAATAATAATAATAATAATAATAATAATAATAATAATAATATTATATTATATCAATAATTATTAATTTATTAAAATAATTTTATTTATAAAATTTTACATATAATTTTTGAGGATAATAAATAAAAAAAATTAGTAATTAGTTTTTTATAATTGTCTAATGTTTAAATTAAATTATAAGTAAATCATTTAAAATCAAATAAACATCTAAAATGTTTATTTGCCTAGAAAATAATAAAAATAATATGCACAAATTCATAATATTATTAGGTACAGTGAAATACGTCAAGCATTTATTCTAATATCACTGATCAGAACGGCCGAGTTGCGTAAAGCGTGCGTTTCTTTCGTTCCCGCCCAGCGGACCCGTGTTCGCTCCCCGGTAGCCCCAAGATTTTTTCGTTGAAACTGCGAGAAGTGTTTTAAGGTTTATGTTATGACATTCATATTAATATAAAAATTATAATTGTTTCAGTGTTGTTAACAGTTCAGGTCAAGATGTTGCTTCAATCGTTTTACTTATGTAAATTTTTTTTTTAAATCCAGTTTAATTGTGAATGAAAAATTACATTTTTATAACGAATTACTATATTTAGTGCAATATATTTTCTTATAATAATTTTTGTTGATAATTGGAATATTTTTTTTAATTACATAAAATAAACGTGTTTACTACATTAAATCTTATTATTAAATGAATTTCGAAATATTTAAAAGAATTAATTTGACTAGTTTTTCAAAAGTCCTATTGATAAATAATTATCAAGTTGGGCTGGATAATAACTTGATGAAAAAAGCGTGACATGACATTCGAGTTTTTAGCTAGCTGGTCAGTCAAGTAACTAGACAGACTCCAGCGCGACTAGGCAGTTCCTTTAAAATAGCTAGGACAAATTTCTACTAGGGTATTAAATAATTATTATTTGGTTTCATGAAATAATGTATTAGTATTAAATAATACTATATTAATAGTAATTTAATTTAGTTGAATCAGTAAAATAAAATTTTGTCAAATTAACTGCATCAAAGAACCAAATATTTCACTGAAATAAATATATATATATATATATATATATATATATATATATCAATTAATTGATTAAAAATGTTCATTACTTGCATTAAATAGTTAAATTTATTTGAATCAAAAAATTAAATTGCCGTATCAAATAATTTTTAACTGCATCAACCAAATATTTCAATAAAAATTAAATCATTTCCTATGTATTTGTGGCAAAATTTTAACATATTTGACTGCATATTAATAATATTAATAAATCTGCAGTATAATTAAACATTGGAAAATAATTTTTTTCCATTTTTCAGAATAAGATTGCTCTTTACTTTTATTTTGAAATCAAAAATTTAAATGAAACTATCCACCGCAGACAACGAGATAGAGATTAATTTTTAAGAATTCTAGTATTCCTTAACTTGTAAATTTCAGAAATTATTTACTATTCAAGTTGCTCATTTATGGATGAAAATTTCAATCTACGTTCAGAAATGAAATTTACAAAAATAACTTGTTATAATTTTTGAAATAAATAAATATTTTCGTACAGGCTTTTTTTTATATTTGTAAGAAAGAATAAATGAACAAAAATATTAATTTAATTATAATAAATAATTGTAAATTTTAAACTTACTTTGCACAATTCAACTTCCTCATCGTAGCCAAAGCGACAGTTGAAGTTTTTATTGCATTTCAAATTCAGATCAATGCATGCATCCTCGCAATCAAATTCATTGTCATTGCAAGCTAAAAGCAAAAATAAAAATTTATTTAAAATAATTGTAAATATAAGTCTTAATTATATTTGTCGTCAATAATTCTCTTCAAGAAGAATTATTAATATTTTTATTTATTAATCTTCAAGGCTAAAATTTTTAATTTTTTAATCTCTCGAAACATAATCTTGGATAGGTATACATTAAAGCATCCATCTCCAAAATCTTGGTTACCCATATCCACTTTTAAAAATTAATACAGACACAAATAAATTAATTTTAAATCATAATTGTTCCTTTTCACATAATACCAACAAAATTGGTTTCGAAAATAACATATTTATTAATTTTTTAGGCTCTTTATGATTTTAGCTAAAATTGAATTTTTTGTTTGACAATATTTTGCAGTGTGTTTCATTTTGCCTCATTGCAAAACTTTGAAAAATGTTCTGATGAACGTAAAAACAATAATTGAAATTTATAGAAATAAATTTTTGAAATACTGTCTTACTTCATACTATAAATATGTTATATCTATATCCATTAGCCCTGTACGTGGTTATTCTGAAATGTACGCAAAGCTCATTCTCAATGCAAGCAAGTGATGGGGCATTAATATGGTATTTGAATCCTTTATCGAACGATTATCCTCAATGGAATTGTAGCTTTAAGCTGATTATTGATAGCTGGAAATTGAACCTAACTATAATTATTTGGAACTCACTTTGAAATACCATAACGTAGATCTTCCAAATACATCAAACCTCATTGAAATACAAACGGTTATCAAGGATAGCAATTATTAAAAGACCGCACTAAAGACTTGTAGAATCACTAGAATTCGCTTCTAAATATATTTTCCATAGTTTAAGGGGACTTTCTGGTTTAGAATTTCAAAAAAATCGATTTTTTTTTTTTTGCTTAAAAATGTTCCATAGTATCATAGAATTACTGTCCCAAAACGTTTTTTAAAAAATATGTACAAAAACAAAAGTTATAACAATATTTATGACGGTATGTATTTCAACAACAATTTACAGTTATCTTATTTACATATTTGGTGTTCCTCTTTTATTGATATTAGCTTGAAACATGTTACTCGAGGGTTTTTGGGGTCGTTGATTACGAATTTGATGTCAGTTTTTGAAAATACAAAATGTCGGATCCAATATGGCGGACGAAAAAATAAAAATTCAACCGGATTTGCTTAAAACTTGTTACTCGGGGGTTTTTGGAGTCGCTGATTACGAATTTGATGTCAGTTTTTGAAAATACAAAATGGCGGATCTAATATGGCGGACAAAGATTAAGAAATTAATTAAATTTAGTTGAAAATGGTTACTTGTGGCCTTTTGAGATTGCTAGTTATGAATATAGGCACAAAACATTATCCTTCTAGGAACATCAAATTCGTAATCAACGACCCCAAAAACCCCCGAGTAACAAGTTTTAAGCAAATTCGGTTGATTTTTTATTTTTTCGTCCGCCATATTGGATCCGCCATTTTGAATTTTCAAAAACGGACATCAAATTCGTAATCAGCGACCCCAAAAACCCCCGAGTAGCAAGTTTTAAGCAAATCCGGTTGAATTTTTATTTTTTCGTCCGCCATATTGGATCCGCCATTTTGAATTTTCCAAAACGGACATCAAATTTGTAATCAGCGACCCTAAAAACAGCGGGATACGAAGTTCTGTTGTAATAAACAGTTGTTTGATATTCATGACTCAATGAACTATGTTATAAAAACTTTGAACGCGTTTTTCTCGAAAACTCATTTTTCAAACTGGTACAGAGCTTTTCTCGAAATCTACCGAACCGATTTTGAAATCCCAAAAATTGTTCGATTCTTTATTTAAAAAACTGGGGCCTAAACCTCTAAAAACTCATATTTCTACCCCCTGTGTTTTTATATGGAGGTAAATTGACCCAAAAACACGGCGTTTTTGTGAGTTTTTGAGAAAAATGTACATAAAAAATAAAAAAACCTTTAAAAAAAATCGTTTTTGAGGTTTAGGCCCCAGAATAAATCCTTATGAAGAGATTCCCGTTTGGAACTTGAATTTATTTATTACAGGTTGCCCGGAAACTAACGTACCAAAAAAAGGTATCTTTTGGAAGACGCCACCTACAGCTATGAAATTGAACTAAATACACTCAAACATATTTTTTAAATTTTCTCTACACAGAAAAAACTTGGACTCATTTTTGTTGCAACTCATTTTCTTTTGGGTATCGAAATGAGTGTGGGACAAACTTCATGTTATTCAAAATGATATTGGCTGGAATTTCAGATTTCTAAGTTGGCATCATAAGCAGAGTAATTTTGTATTTCAATTATTGTTTCTAATATTTCAACAACACCAGAAAGATTATTTTGACCAGTACGAATATTTAGAAGTTTTTAAATAAAAATTATTTATTATTATTTACGTAGATAATAATTAATTTCATAAGTTTTTAAATTTACCGCTATTATTTAAGTTGGCAGTACCGTTCCTGTTGTCAAAACACATGTTTTCATTTTTCTAACCTAAAAACATATTTCCTTTATTATTTTATTACGCGATTACAAGCAATTTTTAATCAAATATATTAAGTCTAGCGTGTTATTTACTTCTTTGTAATTATTATATTTCATGTTTTTGTGTAAAATTATTCGTTATTTCACAATATTTTTCCATTTTTCTTTTTCTCAAAATGAAACTTGCCTGTTTCATTTTGATACTTTTACCTTAGAACTCGAAATGAAACAACCAGTTTCATTTTTGTTGCGAATCAAATTGAGTATAGAATCTATACTCAATTTGAATTCAGGTTTTTTCTGTGTACGCAATGTGCTACAATGTCCAAAAATAGTTTTTACAATTTCTTTAATACTGTTCTTACAATAAAAGTTTTAAAACCTTCCTTTTTTGTCAATTCTAAACCAGAAAGTCCCCTTAATTAGTAAAATACAATTTTCGCAATACAATTTCGCGTCATGTCCGACGAGCAACGAATTCCATATGAAAAATATTTTATTACAGTAATTTTACATTTCTTTTTGACTTCGGTCGAAAATCAAGCAAAATATCCAAGTTACAAGTGTATAATAATTTTAATAAGACCCTGAATTGTATTATTAGAAATACTAGTTACTTCAGAAACTCTTCTGCTCTGATTGCTGTTTTTAATGCATTTGTCAAATTTAAATTAAACTATATGATATATTCAACCATGGAACACTCTCCTCATTAAAAATATCTCAGCTTTAGAAGAAAAAAAAAAAAAACTTGAAGTGTCTTTAGTCTCTCAAATACGCAGAGAAAGAGTATATATTCTCCTAGGAACACCAACTATGGGAATTTGTATTCTAAATTTAACTTCCTTACGTTATAGCTGAGAGCCGTAACATCTTACAATGCATATTTGTCAACCGCTTAATCAACGCCACAATAAATTGCGATTATCTTTTAGCTCAATTTGACTTTAAAGTCTCTTGATTACATATACTCGTATTATACCTATTTTACCTACCCAGACTCATTTCTCAATTAAGTGTGCTTCTGCCTCTATACATAAAATTTGAGCAGCATTAATTCTATTCAACGCAAGGATATCTAAATACCTTTTGTATTTAATTACTTTTGTTTAAGCATTCACTTCAGGATTATGTTCAAAATTATTCCTTTTTCACTTTTTATATTGGATTATATAATTATATTATTATTGTATTTTATTATTCTATCGTCCGTTAATTGCCTTCATACAGGGTATGATTTTTTATGTTCCGAACTCCCTAAAATTAAATAAATTTTGAGAAGAATTTAATGTGGAAAAAAGCTAAGTTAATCTCGATTTATTTTTCAATATTCTTGACTATAGAGAGAAAAAACCTGAACTCAAAATTGCTCCAAATGAGTAGCTTACCTTACTCATTTTGAAGTATAGCAAAAATAAGTTAGCTTGGTGGCGCCACTTTTTATGCCGTTTAATATTGACATTTTGAACTGCAACAAAAATGAGACTAGGTTTTCTCTCTGTGTAATTAAATCTTTTATTCATCTTCGTCTTCGGCGTCGTGATTTATTATAATAACGAGACTATAATTAATATTTCTCAAATTAATCAGAATAATAATTTCTTCAAGATTCATTTATGCAGATTTAATATTCTCACAGAGACTTTTAATTTATTTAATTCCATACTCATCTATATCAATGATTAATTTGTCTGTTCCTGCAAGAATTATTAGAAACTACTCACTTTTCTCAAATGCTTTTCATAGAACCGCATAATTATGGAAATAATGCCTTGATCCCTTACAGCACCAGATATCCTAGGATATTCCAAAAACATCCCTTGGATATCCTAGGGATACCCCAGGGATATCCTAAGGATACTTTAAGGATATCCAAAGTAGCGGCGGTTAGGATATCCTAGGGATATCCCAGGGATATCTAAGGATGTCCCTAGGACGTCCCAGGGATATCCTAATTATTTCCTCGGATATCACTATTGTTCATAGTTTGATTAATATGTAACACCTAATAACAAAATCACCGGGAGGGAAAGTAGCTTGTCGGAAAAGGCATACTTTTCTCCCGCTACACAGGTAAAAAATGGTGTACTTTCAGTGCGTGTGTTAGAACAAAAATTTTTCATTCGGTCAGACCCATAAAAAACGAATTTAAAATTTTGTTGGTATTTAAGCAACCAAACTATTTGTTTGAGTCAACCAAAAAATTTGGTTGAGTGTTTTTTGTTGGTATACCAAAAATGTTTGGTTAGCTCAACCAAATTTTTTTTGTTAGGTCAACAAAAATGTTTGGTTGATCAAATCAACAGAGTTTTTTGTAAAATTAAAAATTTTATTCTACCTTATCTCTTTTCTTTTTATCTTTTTTATTTATTTCATTATTTATTTATTATCAATTTAACATTGAATTTATATTTATCCAATTGAAATATTTGTGGACTTTGAAAAATCTCATCTCCGCCTGGGATCGAACCTCTGTTTTAAAACTGAAGATCGGGAGCTCTGACCAC